ATGGCCATTTCAAAACCTTATAGCTGTGTTCGACATTGACAAATAATAAAAAAAGTCGCACTAAATGATGACCTATATGTGTAATTAACAATTGGTGAATAAATTTTTCATTATCTGCATACTTTTTTAAAATGACTTTTTACCGCTTTTTCGGTCATTTGCCCCACTGTGCGACGCGGCGCTTGTTGGCGAGCAACCGCGCGCCCCGCTTGTCCTCCGATCCCGCGCCTATTCCGCGATTCAATGACGCGCTGTGTACGAACAAGTCCGTACAAAACTGCGTTGGAATTTCGTAAAAATCTTAATTACACGAAAAGTTATAAATTTTTAAACAAAATGTTTTTTTCGAAAAAAAAGTGTACGGTTTTTCTTTAAACGCCTGTATCTTCAAAACTACTGGAACTTTTTTCAATCTGTTTCTTTTGATCAACGCAGAATCGTTCAAACTTTCGATTTAAAAAGAAAAAATTGATTTTTTGCGGAGATATTCGAACTTGAAATTGCATGAATCTCACAGACCCAGTCCGGACAACTCGTATGTTATTTTTTATATCTGGCAATGAAGGGTTAATTGCACTTGATATATTATTGTTACTAATGAATCTTTATACACAAAATTAGTAAAAAATATTTTAAGTGATTTTTAGAGATATTTATATATCTCAATATTAAATATGTGTATGTTATGTACTCAATAATATTTATAAAAAGTAAAGTTTTATTTATTATATTATTTTACTAATGAACAACAGGACAATAATATACTTAACATATATGATAGAACAATTACTTTTGAAGTAATATAGTTTTGTTCATTATTTTATAATTTGTGTTTTACAAATCAATATTACAATCTTCCGCTGCCGCACATCATTCGGCGAATAAACAATATCTTATCGCAAAAATGAAACTCTTCGTGTGTAGAAAGAGAAAATAAAAACAAAGTATCTATTCGGCAAATCTATAATCTACAATATTCCCGCAATCTCAAATATTGTACATATAAATATATCATAGCCTATATTTAGCAAATATTCCACATGATGAAACACGATGAATGAGTTCACTTACCTCTTTCTATACTGGAAGATGATATAAACTATGATTGCGTTGCCGACAAACAACAAAGCAATTAGGACCGTTGGCAGCACAACATCTGTAACATAATGCAGATTTGATTAATATATTGATTGGCCGACATGCTGTGTCATCGCGTTGTTCATTCGATTTAGCCGTACACTTTGATCGCGCGCAATTTAAAGCTTCTTCCTACGACAGGAGAATTGCCTTGTCATCAAAGCCTGTCTAAACATATCAACGAGATTATTAAATATCTCTCAAAGATTATTAAGCAAAATTCACAGAGCGTTAAAATTGCTCGTCACAACAGCACGACGTGATTCCGTGTTTACATTTTTGGTGAAATTGTATTCAAAAATATTATAACATGTATTTTATATTATATAAAATGATTATAAACATAAACATATCGTATGATACTTCAATGAGTTATGTGTGTTAGTTCTACCAAAAAAGTAATGATTCAAATATTGTTATTTACAAGTATTGAGATATGACCGGAGCCAACATATAACGTTTGCAATTATGTATATTTATTTATTTCCTTTAAACGTGTAAATTAACACACATGCAATTTTTGAATTAAATTTAATTTCCACGTGTATTAATTAATTAAATCACATACATCCGACTTATTAACTGGCTCTTAACGCTTGATTATACGCATTTTCACGCGAGCTTTTTCGACAAATTGTTGTATTCTGTTATTGTTAAAACTTCGACTAGTTGTTCTTTTTTTAAAAAAATATATAACAGAGCAATTCCAAGTCGTGCGCGAGATATTGTTTCGAATCGTCAATTTCTCTTGTTAAGCGTCGATCGTGGCACATTAAACTTTGGACACTACAAACTGACTGACCGAACGTTTTCATAATTTATGCGAGACCGCCTTGACAATTCGACACTTTTTGCTACGTACATATGCGAACGTTGAAGTAGAATATTTCTCAAATGATCTTATAAGTACGTGCATCTTATAAGCAATTAGCTTTGAGATGTTAAATACAAGTGGTTCTTGAACGAGAATTTGTATGTGGTTTAAATCGTCGTAAATGCAAGTCAAAAAGAAATCATCAAAATAATTACGTAACACATTTTTTTTAAATTATAAGATTGAAAAAAGTTGAAAAATCTTTTCTTGACACTGCAACGCTGAATTAATAAAAATTGCAAAAATTTTAATTGCTTATGTCATCGAGCCAATTAAAACTAGAAAAAAATATATTTAAAAAAATTGAAATTAAAAGGAACTAATTTACATTGTAATAGAAATAAATATAATAAACTACTGTAATGTTTAGAAAAGAATTAAAATAAAATCATCACTTACAAAGTTGCAATTTGTTTTTATATTTTTCGGAAATGTAACACAGATCTCACACGATAAACATACGGATTATTGGTTCTACTTGGAAAATCAAGTAATCGCACTTTGAATTTTGGTCTAAATATAACTAGCGCTTTGTTGTTAATCGCGCAAACGAGAGGATAAAAACGAATTATTTCACAACTGCGAGTGTGTTTGGTTGCGTCATCATTCGGTATCGATCAGACTTGCGTAGTCTCATCCCGACTGGATATTTTCGAACGAGCAATTCTCGAAATCTAAAAAACTCACTCTTGAAATTTACTTTTGTCAGAAAAAAAGCGATATCTATTATTGTTCTGTGGAAGTTCCTTCACATATCACTCTGTCTCATTAGTGATCTTGCTCATTAGCAAAAATCTAATTGCTTTCTCGCAACATGATATTGTTGACGATATTTTTGATAATTAATTATCGTTCTCGTTGTAAATATGGCCGATTACAACCACCAAAAGTCGAGAAAGATCTAAACGTCGTGTCGTTTCGACAAACAAAAATACAACACGGATGTAATGTGCAATTATAAACGAATAAATCGACCACTATCGACGTTTTCCTACGCGATCGGATGTGCCACAATTACGCGTGTCGTATTGATATAAAGAGAACGCGAATTTTTCACGGACCTACGACGTAGTCCGCCTGCTTCATCATGGCCGATTGCGTTGAATCCATAACGGGGGTGCTGCTGCTGCTGCTGCCACTCGCGACTGCGTCCTCGCCGCGTCCTATTCTCACCCCCGTGCCAAGGATATTGTCCCCGGATAGACTCGACAGATGATGGTGTTCGGTCTCCGTTTTCAGGATCACCGCCGACGTGGCTGTGAACAAAAATGCCCTCGTTTTAACGAAATCGCAAAAACAAAAAAAGTCGACTGCATCTCGCGAAAATAAAACGCTCGCGTTTTTTAAAAATTTAGAAATTTTTCAAAGTTTTTAAATAATTTATATATAATACAGAGCCGTAAAATTTTTTGAAATGGACATGAAAATAAATACGCGCGTCAGAAAAATACTATTAACACAAAATGAAGTAAGTCATGATGTTCGGTGTTTCCTCTTTTCTTTTTTTTTTTTTATTTTAACACACTATATTTCAATATTCGCGATAGAGCGCAAATTACAATGTAACAGTAGAGAATTCGTATTTTATCGAATAACTTTTCGATATTACCGTACACACACATATATACAATATCATAAAAGTAATAACACCGCCGCGCACTGGCGATCGTAATCGATGTTGTTAACTTTTGGTCTAATGCCCGATGTAATCTGGATTTGCGCGACACTCCAGGCCAAAACAAATAACTCCGGGCTACATCGGTAGCATCGTCGGGGAAACAGCGACAAGAACAATCACGAGCATATTCGTCGAAGAACCGACGTATTGTCGTCAGTCGCGCGTATCGATTTCGACGATTCCCTCTCTGCAGTCAAGGGAAATAAATAAGCGATCACAGCCCGTGTGTTTTATCAACGAATCAATATGGTCTCTACGGTGGCCTTAAAGTATCTTAAAGTTACACGTGTTTGCGCGTGAATCGCGATTCTCTTCTCGGTTTTTCAATCGAAACCATACATATATATATATATATCTCTCTCGTCGACAAAAACATGTTCCGGCTAAACGAACGCTCATATGTGATGCACGAAGATATATAATTCTTCTTATATGGCTCTGGAGTCGCGTTGAATTACAGAGATGTTACGGGGACAAGAAATCACGTGAATTTTTATTATCGCGCGGTTTTTATACGTCCCGAGAAACTAATTTTTATGTACACGCCGGTGTTTAAAAGCACGACGCAAAACTCGCACAAAAGAGATTTACAACGAGAAACTTGGGAAAATTACGACGCACTCTTATTCGTACAACGTAGATTTTTTTCATTTCCTTTTTTTCAAAGTAGAAATGTATTTCCATTTTACCAGTTTGTTTTACTTAAACTGAATGAAATAATAAATGATATGATAAGAGATATTCGTGTGACAGTGACTGCTGCTCTAGCTCGAAGAGAAGATAGACATTCGCGTAACATTCACACGAATTACAGATAAACATTTTTAATCATGTATTTCGAGATCAAATTGTTTAATAGTTCAAATACTCGAAATTTTCATTTTAAATTAGTTACATTTAACGTTTTTAAAGTTTTTTCGGAAAATTACTCGCTTCCGCTCGTTGTTGTTTTTCTTTTCTTTTTTTGTTTTAGTTTTCGCTTTGCACGGATGTACATACGTGCACGTGTTCCGTGCCTGTATTTTATGTCAAGCACGCTCGTTTCTAGACTCAAACAAGCACTCACAGATCCGGTATTAAATAGAAACTTCTCGTCTTCTCTCGCTTCGCGATGATAAATGGGATCACATATTCCAAGTAATTTCGCAGAAAATCCGCAAATCGATCGCTCCCGGTGTGTGTCGATAATTCATACCGGCGTACAGGATACATTCCAATACAACAGTGTGTGTAGGAATACGCACGTCATTATACCGTTACGGCAACCGATTTCCAGGAGCCGCGCCGCGGCTTTTTCTTCCGAACTCTCTTTCTCTCTCAAGAGTGTGTATACCTATAATCTACACATTGCGAGAGAAGAACCAAGCCCGACCCGCATCCGGAGCGATCGTCCATAAAACACGTTTACGATATGTTGGGTCGTTATTCCGCGCGCAGGCTGCAAAACCACGGCGGCAGTCCGCTTTTTCCCGACGTTAGCACGTCACGTTACCGTTACCGCAAAACGCGCCCCGCGATTTATCCCCGTTCTTTCTATTTCTCACTCTCTCTCTCTCTCCCTCTCTTTCTCTCCGTGCCGTTGTCGGCAGTTAGCGAAATTGCGCGCGAAATTTTTCTGTCTTCTCTTCACCGCGAATAAAAGAACTCGGCAGAATTGTTTTTTCGTGGCGAGATATCGCCGTTCGGTCGCGAGTTCATTTGATTCGAGCGATTGGCTTGACCGAGAAGAACGTCTTTTGTTTGTAATTGTTTTATTACCGCGAGATCTCGATCAATCACGTTGTACGGTATTTACTTCTACGGCGCGATTGAAACTCGTCGGGGAAATGTCTTCGGAAAATCTTGCGCTTTCCCTTGAAATTAATTTCCCACTCGACGAAGAAAGGTCGACTTTCTTCGGTCACATCGCGAGCGAGCACAAAAAACGATGACCTGACTATGTAAATATACGGATACGGTTTTGCACGGGGGCGTCTCAGAATCACCGGATGTACCGCTAACCGCAGTCTCGCGGTTGAATTTCGCGAGATAATTTTTTCGCAATAGGAGTATCGAGAGAAAGATTTTATATTTATCGCACCGGATGTATTTTTCATATTGTTGTGTTTCAAATAAATCTTTTGTAACAAAACTGGCTAAATAGTAGTTGGAAATTAATTTCGTTATTTCTCTCTCTCTCTCTCTCTCTCTCTCTCTCTCTCTCTCTCTCTCTCTCTCTCTCGGAGTTTGTGTTTCTTTCGTTAATAATAACAGTAGAAAATGCACTCGCATCACGATTATTTTCCACGTGTTGTTGCATCTCAATTTTTCACAAATCAACAGTTCGTAATGACGGAAAACATTCTGTGTATTTTGCACGGTGAACCGTATGTTTTATCGAAGTACACAAATAAAATGTGCTGAAATGACAGTATTTTCGATAAGAGATGATAATTTTCAACAAATTTCGCGACGAACACTTGGAAACACAATTATCGTTGCGCAAAACTCATTCCACTTAAGCGGAACAAAATTAAAATAGTACAAAACACAAAGCTGGGGCTTTCTTTAAAGTGTGGCAGAAATATTCTATCCTACAAATTGAAAAACTAACGCGAAAAGATTTTCAAGTAATTAAAGAAAGATTTTAAACGCGGAGCTCGCGAGTGTATGCTCGCTAAAAAACATTTTACTTCCAAATGAGAAAGCTCGTTTAAGCTTCGGAATACTTCGGTATTCCTTCGATCGAATAGTAGAGGTATAACCTCGCGATCGAATAGTTTAGTTTTACCGAAAGTCCGTTTCTCTCGCATATTTTTCACTTGTGTTATTACATCGAACGAATTTCGAGTCTTCGTTAAATTGCTGGTATTATCTCTCTCTCTCACACACATACATACAGGTGACAAAGTGTGTCGATGTATACTTACAAACAGAGCGAGAAGAGTTAAAACATGTTACGATATCGCAAATGTGTCAGCGCACAAAATAAATAAATTAAATAATTCTATTGAATTATATCATCTCTCTCTCTCTCTCTCTCTCTCTCTCTCTCTCTCTCTCTCTCT